TTATTGAAAGCATGTTTTTCGTGTTATTTTCACATCTTATTGTTTCCAAGAAGTCCCTCAATACTCCAGCATTCTCTTTAATATCTAACCTAATGTTATCGTCCTCTTGGGTTCGAATTATTCCTCATATATTTTTATAATCACTTTGGGACAGTTCCAAATCATCACTTGCAACGTGTAGATATTTTATGGCATTTATTTTTTTTAGAGCATATATATATATATTACAGTTTGTACACTGGGGTTGAATAAGACTAACGTACTTCTGGTTGGTTGAAATAGATTTATACCCCCCCCCAATATGAGGCAATTGGTGATTTTGTTGTGTAATTTCATACATCGGGCTCTTTTTGTGGATCAGTTTTAATATTTGATATTACTAAGATCCACTTGGATTATATACGAACCGATCTATTACCTGTACCATATATATATATATATATATATATATATATATATATATATATATATATATATATATATATATATATATATATATATATATATATATATAGTCATCAACACACAGACTGTTTCTGCAGCTCATCAGTGTGGATAGACATCCGATTGCCTCAAGCCGGGATCGAAACCAGACTGATTTTGTATCAGTCGGAGATTTTACCCCTGGGCCACTGAAGGTGAATTTTGAACGTATTTATTTTTTTAGACAAACACGCCAACGTAATAGTCAATATTTACAAATTCCCTTTTGCTCCTCGAAGAGCTCAACCGAATTTTTTTCAGGAGTATATATATATATATATATATATATATATATATATATATATATATATATATATATATATATATATATATATATATATATATATATGTGAGTGTGTGTGTGCTTCAACACACCCGAAAAATTACAACCTTGCCATAATATATAAAGTCACACCTTTCCTGTATTCTAGGTTATTGAAATGATCCCCAATCTACCAGTTTTTGAGACATACACTTACTCAGATGTCTAAGTATTATTATTATTATTATTATCACGTGTTTGCATATTGACACGATAGATCTGGTAGACATCGCTGGGGACAGAGTGGCACCAAGTTCACTCAAATCTCCAGAATCTTTGCAGTTTTCAGCAAATCTAGGATTTGTACATGTGTAGTCCCATGCCGTAAGCTTACGGTCAAATCACGCTGAAACACCGGTTTCGTACGATCACCGAAGTTAAGCAGCTTAGATGGGGGACCGCTTGGGAACACCTGGTACTGTAAGCCCCCAACCCTTACCTCACAGTCGGTGGGTGGATGTAAACGGTAGTGTCAGAGCTATGCCGCCCGGAACTTCGTTTCTGGTAGGGCCACCCAAGGCGGACAGGTCTGACACACACGCCGGCTAACAAGGGCTCTGGTGAAAATCCAAGGATCGGTAACCGGCGGCTTCTGGTCGTTCCTGTCTCTGCGTCTGTGGGAACCCCGCGGCAAGCAAGAACGTTATCCGAGTAGGCCTGGGTACCCTACTTCTGTAATTTATCCCAAGAATCTTCTTCTCATAACAGGAAGAAGCCGGCTCAATCCGCCCAGGGTGAATGCCGCATCAGTACAGTACAGTACAGTCCCATGCCGTCCTCGAAATTCCAGTTCATTTAATCAGGATTCTAGTTTTTTGAGCAGGATTCCAAGTACACCTAATATCATAACAATGACGTTAACCATCACATTCTACATCTTTCTAAGCTCCCTGGTAAGGTTCTGGTATTTTCCAATTCCCCAATCTCCTTTACATTCAGTTTGTGTTACGCTGTTACAACAACATGCCTGAACAAGAAGGTCTTCTTTTTTTCTTATTCCCAAATATCAGATCCGGTCTTATTGCTTGGTAACCCCAAGATATTTTGCTCTTTTTCTTTTCTTTTATTAGTTTCAGCTTCGTGCGTTTACAATTTGTCTACATGACCGAACAAGAGTCGCTTTTACAGTTCTCAGTTGTCGGTTAAGTACTCTTTAGTGATCAGTAAGTATAATTAACCAACACGTCGTGTCCTTAATAATAAAAAAGCAAATATAAGGACAATAGTTCAATTAGACAATGTCCGATTTTCTTTTGTGCTGGAGAAATGGTACATTTTCAATTTTCGTGATTAAATTTAGTGTCATCATAGCTGCAGGACCAGATCGAATTGTAATAGTAATAGACATGTTGGTAACCTTAGATGATATGGACATTGACAAGATTACGCACATAAGGATATATATATATATATATATATATATATATATATATATATATAACAGTGGTAATATACCGGAAGAACTAAGTTGATCTACTTTCGTAGCACTGTCTAAGGAGGTAGGTGCAAATGAATGTGAACTCCATTGGACAACCAGCCTAATGAGCCATATAATAAAACTCATCATCCGAATTCTGGTGAATATAACGCGCAACAGAATCAGACAGAAAATAGGACAAGTACAGTGCGGGTTCGTTAAAGACGCTGGAACAAGGAATACGATATTTATGCTTAGAATTCTATCAGAAAGTTTTGATAAAAGGCGTCTCACGAACTGTTGGAACTGCTAGGTAACCATGGCAAATATTGGTGAGGAAAGAAATTTCCCTCTTTTGATTAATGTTACTAAAAATTCTCCTTCAGTGGACAATTCTACCTTCCAGCTATCGCTGGAGTAAACTTCAATATATCCTGAAGCATTCGAGTATCCTGCGAGGAAAGTGATGTCAAATTTTATATGGAAGTCATTGCCCATTGAGTACTTTTTTCTTTTTTTTTTTTTAATCTCACTGCCTTCAGGATTATCTGGTCTGTGGAAACAGGAAATGAAGTCATTTGGTTCTTCCTCTACGTTCTTTCTGTTCTTTTCTTAAGAGTTCTCTGATTTCCAAGTGTTCGAACATTTTCTATGTTATTCTTCCAGTTATACCGTATCAATGGTAAGCATCGATTATGTTATGCATCTGCAGTTCCCACCAGAAAAAAAACTGTGACTGTCACTGGGCACTGAGTGGCAGCATTTCTCCCCACATATCCAGCACATGTATCAATACTTAGCTGGTAGTTTAAATTCTTAGATTTTCTAATTCTTGCTATCTCGATTTCCGTGTTTTTTAGAACGGTCCCAAGTACACCATCTCTTATAGACATGAGTCTAACCATTATTGTACACAGTTTTCGCAACTCCCATCATGGTTTGTTGGCTTTTTATTCTTCAATTTTGTCATTTTCTTTCGTTTTGACTATGTATTCCGTTGGTTCATCTCCGATCTGAAATATTTTTATTTCCTTCGGTATGATTATCCACTTCTTTCCTTAGGATAGGATGATCAATCAAGTCGAAGAATGAGTTTATCTGACTATTTTTATGACAGTCTCTGGTATGTGATAATAACATCTGTTTACCTGCTCAAAACCACGTCATTTGCACAGTTTCTAGTGCATGACTCTTCCTTCTCTGCCGTGTATACTTTAGTATTTCTTTGGGGGTAGCTTATCGTATTCACTTACTATCTGATCACTTCTTTCAAAAATGTGTCATATAAAGTTTTATTTATTTTGACTTTGATCTCAGATGCATTTCTTCCGAGACAAAAAGATCCTTATTTTTCTTCCCAACGGATTTCTGGGTAACTATGTCCATGACGTCTACAATATTTCCCGTCTTTTAAATTCTCTATTCTTTATTGTCTTTAATGCTCGATATTTTTTTCACCATATAATAAAATTGTACTTGGGCACCTCGAGGCGGTATAATGGCTTAGTAAGCTTATGTCGCTAGATCCTCACTGGGTGCCTCCTACTTTCGGCTTTGTGTCACGTTTAAGCTACACTTGGAAAGCTACACTCGTCGTGGTGTAATGGTTAGCAATCTTGTCTCGCTAAAACGGTTACGGCTGCATAATGAGTTCGATCCTCACTGGATGTCCCATACTTCCGGGCCCCTAGGCGTGGTGCAAGCTTGTTTCGCTAGAAAATTTTCACAACTATAGATTTCTTTTTTTCTGCATCTGTCTCACTGTAACTAAGGTCTGCTCAGTAGAGATGCAGTATAAAGTACAAGTGAACGTACCTGTGCAGTTCGTGTCAGAATTAGAAATTTAACTGTGACAGCAGTCTAAAAATTAATACCAAATTTATCCATTTCAATGTTTCAGTCAGACGAAAGGCACAATACAGTGGTCAAGGGAGGGTGGAGAGTATTAACCTTAAAGGGAGGGTTTTTTTATCAAATTAAATCTCGTGTACAATTTAAAAATGCATTGCATATTCTTATTTTTAAATAATTTTATTTCTTATAAAAATTATCTTACTTTTAATATTTCTCTGTATATATATATATATGTGCATGTATATATGTATGTATATATGTGCGTGAGACTATGCGTGTATGTCTGTGCGCCCTATCGCGTTTTGACTTATACTTCTTGTATCGTGAATATTTCTCTGTTTCTTTTACTCTCACACCCCCCACTCTAATTTACATTCACTCTCTTCCTCATTTCTCTTTGTCTACGTTTTCCTTTTTCGTTACATTCCTCTTTCCTTCCATCCTGCGTATGACGATAATCTACATCTGCGTCCAGGGTAAGACGATAAACTACGTCCAACAGCAAGGCCTCTGATCAGGATGTTTTTAGGAGCGTGGAACCACCTCTTAATTGCTAGTGTTCCCAGGTCCACCCTCACCTGGTGTGGTTGCATCTGTTAGGGCCCCAGCTATGAGCAAATAGTTAACCCCGAAACTGGGGTAAAAACACCATGAAAGTGTAGCAATAGGTTTTAATACCAGAATTACTTTGTAAAATATTATTACCAGAAATAAAATTTTTGAAGAAAAAAACTATTACCAGCAATACATGTTTTAAAATAATATTAGCAGCTATACATTTTTGAGGAAAAAAATATTACCACGAAATAGATTTTTGGCAAAGCCAAATATTACCTGGAAAAAAAAGTTGTCGGCATTAAATGGCCCATGAAGATTGATATGCCGTAAAACAAAACAAACCAAACCAAACCCTCTTTCCTTAAGTATTTTCGCCATCTCTGTCTCACTTTCTCTATCTATCTATCTATCTATCTATCTATCTATCTATCTATCTATCTATCTATCTATCTCAATTTGTGCTTCTATCTATCTATCTATCTATCTATGCCGTCTTATCTTGCTGTCAATTTATCACTCTATTGCTTTCAACGTTCCTTTTCCCAGTATCTCTCTCTCTCTCTCTTTCTCTCACTCCCTCTCTTTCTCTGCATTGTCCTCTTCATGCATCCATTTTTTTCGTTTTGCAAATATTTTACAAAAATTCTATTCAGAACTCGGATGATCATATCTCCCCACTTACTCCTTTTTTTATAATCTGGCATCACGTAAAAAATGATGAAGATGTTTTCAATTCTCTTCTCTACCGTTTGGAATTCAGAATAAACATTCGTTTAGATTCATGGCCAAACAAGTTTCGAGAGCATTGCTTGTTCTGCTATTCCACCCTTAACCAGAACTGGCAAAAGATGCAGCCATGCCTTTCCCATTCATTAGAACGAAGGTCAGATACAAAACCGGAATTTGAACTCGTGCTTTTGGTTCCATTTCTTCACCCGTAACCGTTCAGCTGGTTCTACAGAGGGATGGTGAGGATACCATGTTCCGAACATGTGAGCAACGACGAGGTTTTGGAGAGAATCGAAAGAAAAAGGAAACTTATATTTAATATCAGGAAGTGGCAGTTGAAATTTCTGGGAGACGTAATGAGGAAGGAGGGTTTTGAAATCTGATACTCACAGGGCGGATAGAGAGAAAGAGGGGAAGCGGAAAGCAATGCGTGACCATATATAAGGGGTATGGCAGAACAGGGTCTGAGAGAAAAAACAAAAAGACAAAAACTTATTAAAAGCTACAAGGGGGAGGAAGATGTAGAGGACCATGGCCGCCTACGCCCTGAAGGGACACGGCAGATAAAAGAAGAACCGTCCCACTAACCGTATATGTGACGGAGGAAAAACGGAACAATGCCCCTTGGCGGGTATCAGATTGACAAACAAGAAGAGACTGTCGAAAAAGAGAGAAAAAAAGGAGAGAGTAGAGGGAAGAGAGGAGAAAATGAGAGAGAGAGAAGGGGAGAAAGGAAATGAATAGTAAAAGTGAGAAAGGAGCGATCGGTTTATTCTCTCTCTCTCTCTCTCTCTCTCTCTCTCTCTCTCTCTCTCTGTTTCCACCTCCTTCTCGCTCGCTCTCCCTGTATGTCTTTTTTCCTTTCTCTCAGTGTCAGTCTATATCTTTTTTCGGTCTCTCTCTTTTCTCACTCGTTCGCTCTCAATCTTCTTTTATTCTTACTCTCTCTGTCTCACTCTTCCTCTCTGTCTCTCTCTTTCTCTCTCTACAGCCTCTTTTTGGTTTTCTCTAAGATGGATCAAATATTTCTATTTTTCTCTGTTGCTTCGCGTCAGTTTTTGAGTCATTACGAAAGTTAATTGCATTCTACAACACCTCCCAACAAAAGAACAAGCTTTTATTCTTCCCTAATAATCAGTACATTTGTGTGCTTCTAAAACCTACAGTATTATTCATATTATGTCAATTTATATGTTTGCTCATACCCAACTGTCATGTAAAAAAAATATGGTAAGCTGGCAAATATGATGTGTCTATTTTGGTTGGATTGTCTGCAACTTTCCTGTAACGTTGCAATCTACTATATTTTCTTGAGCCCAAACTTGACCGCTGACCTCCAACGTTATGATACTGCACCTAAGTGAGGTAACTGAAAAATTCCATCACTGTTAAACTAACCTCGGAATATTACTTCTTCGCGTAACAATAAGGACTCTGATTAGGAGGTTTTGATTTGGTTGTTTGGTTATTTTCTCTTAGGGCATATAAACCTCACTGGGTCATTTAATGCCAACAAAATTTTTGAAATTGATTCATAGCGATAGTCTCGTAAAAAAAGATGTGTATGTCTACATATATATTTGAACCATTTTTCAATTACTCATATTTTTGAGTACAATCCTACTTCTTTTAGAAAATTTACAATCTTTGATGGTTTTATTTTCGTAATATTTTTTTTAAATTACTTAATATTCCATTCTGCATTTTTTCTTTTTTTTCAAAGAATGTATAGCTGTTTGTATTACTGATATATATATATATTTTTTTTCTGTTTTTTTAAGTATTGCTGATAATAATTTTTCCTTAAAAAATTATTGCTGGTAATAATTTTCATTACAAAGTAAAGTATTAAAATCTAATTTTACACAAGTTTGGGTGTTAACTACTTGCCCATAGCTGAGACCCTAACAGGTGCTACCACCCCGGGTAAAGAGTGAACCTGGGAACAACAGCAATTAAGAGGTGGTTCCACGCTCCTCAAAACCTCCTGATCAGAGGCCTTGCTGTTGGACGTAGTGTATCGTCTTACCCAGGACGCGGATGTAGTTTATTGTCATACCCAGGACGGCATGAGATTTTGAGGAGCATGGAACCACCTCTTAATTGCTGGTGTTTCTAGTTTCATCCTGACCCAAAGTGGTAGCATCTGGTAGGGCCCTAGCAATAGACAAATAGTCAACCCCCAAACTGGGGTCAAAACACTATGAAAGGGTAAAAATTGGTTTTAATACCAGAAATACTTTGTATAAAATTATTACCAGCAATAAATTTTTGAAGAAAAATTATTGCTAGCAATACATTTTTGAAAAAAATTACCATTCTATACATTTAAAAAAATTAGTAAAACATTTTTGAAAAAAAATATTAGCAGCAATAAAAACTTGTCGGCCTTAAATAACCAAGTGCCGTTGATATGCCGTAAAACAAACCAAGTCAAACCAATCTATACTTAGATAGATAGATAGATAGATAGATAGAAAAAATATTAGCAGCAATAAAAATCTTGTCAGCATTAAATAACCCATTGCGGTTGATAAACTAATGTAGATGATGATAGGGGAGCCTCGAAAATTGTATTTGCAACCACCATATAACTTTATATACCAACTGTTATAGTGATGTCATTTTACTTACTAAATAGCTGTCCCTTATTCTTACCTGTATCAGTTTACTTATATTAGTCAATTAATGTAACTCAGCTCATTCGTTCCTTCCTATTTATCTATCTTATTCTGTTTTTATCTGCCTGTATATATGCCTATCTATATCATATAACTTCCTTTACTCCAACTTTCAACTCTCATAACTTGTGCCCGACCCCTGTTCCTGCCTAACCATTAAGATCTACGCAACGCCTGGCATCTGGCCAGAAAAGAAATCTCTACACAGGCCAGTCGAGTAAACACTTGCCAACCGTCATCGCTAACTTCGCAGAAGCAAATAGAGATTTATCACTCAGATCGGCTATTTGTTCAGTAAACGAAACGCTACTGCTATATTTTCTCCCTTCATCCGTCCTTGCATCTTGTTTGCATGTTACTGGCCACTGTTTCAGCCGTCCTTGAAGTCCATCTACCCTCAAATGAAAAAAAAATGGCGATTGACCTACACTCGAAACCAAATGCCAGTCTCTGTATTTTCTTGTTTTTTTTATGCTTTTTTTTTCTTTTTCTTTTCTTATTAGATCATTTTGGGTGTATTTTCTTGCAATAATCAACTTGATCTTAATCCTTGGATTTTCTCTTTCCTTTTGAATCCTTTTATTTATTATTCTTTTCTAATCTAAAAACAGAGATATTCTGCGGACTTCACTTTAGAATGAAGGGTAAGTAAATTTCTTTGCGAACTCTTCATTATTCTAGTAGGGGCACTACGAAGTGGTGTAATGGTTAGCAAGCTTGTTTCGCTAAATCATTTACGATCGAGTAGTGAGTTCAATCCTCACTTGGTACCTTCGACCTTGTGTCATATATAAGCAACGCTTAGAAATTTATTTATCGCTTCTAGAACATTTGGCTCGAAGAGATTCAATAAATTTTAAACCCAAACGTCGGGGAGCTTCTCTACCCACCCACCCCCTGCCACAGGCAGTACCTCTACTTCCCGATGGGATTGGGTTTACTGCCAGGCGCCTGAAGTGTCCTCAAAAGGGGAAGTGCTGCTTTTCGGCAATTTTGGCACGTTATTGCCGTTCCTGCGCCCGCTTGGTCTCACGCTGTCCCATGACTTGAAGTGGAACAACTACATTGAATCTATAGCTTCATCTACCTCAAAGATAGTTCGTTTTCTGTGCCGCGCCAGGTTTTTCTCGCTTTAGTCCATCCTTCAAATCAACCATTCGTCCTTGCATGGAATACTACTGTCATATATGGTCTGGTACTCCCGCCAAAATCTAAAGACGGGTATGCAACGTGATTGGTCCTGATCTGTCACTTTCTCACAGACGTGCTGTGACAATCCTCTGTCTTTTCTACAAGTATTTTCATGACAACTGTTCTAACGAGCTACTTTCACTGGTTCCCAAACTCCTTGAATTTAAGCTTGCTACTAGGTAACCAGCTCTTCTACTCCAACAGCTTCTTATCTCGCACTTCTCGTCAGTGGAACTCCCTTCCTCTTACTTGCTTCCCTGATAGCTATAATCTTCAAATATTCAAATGTAATATCAATCGACATCTTCTGATACCTTGATCCCCGTCATTGTATTTATCCTTTCCTCAAACATCCCCTCTTTACTCTCACTTTCTGTAACCCCTTGCATGCTAGTGGCACTCCCTTGACCTTTTGTCACATTCGTTAGCGATTTGAGCGCGCTGAAAAATACACACTTCAATACTCTTGTATCATAATGAGCGGGAAGAGAAAAGAGTAATCAGGAGGACAGTAGATAGCAATTGACATTGCATTTAATTAATTGCACTCGGCTGGAAAGTATGGGGTTCCACAAGCGAGAAATAAGAGAAAAGAAACTGTTACCGTAGAACTTACGACTATATCTAGCTAGCTCAAGTGTAAATTGATGTAATATCGAAACTAGTCTAGTACTGCGTTTATATTTTTAAAAGTCCAGGTACCATAGATAAGAGATCATTCGAACAATTTCTATGTAAATATTTATTGAAAAGACACAGAGGCAATCTTAAAGCAGTGGAAAAGTAACTGAAGCCGAGCCGCCAGATCAAGATCAATAATATAGCTGATTTTTCTTTGGAATTTATCAATTATCTCAAGGTAAATAGAAGGGGTACTGGACCTTACGTAGCAGCAATGTTCTAAGCATGGACAAATGGTAGACATAGATATGTATGTTAGATTCTGGAGAGAAAATATGTCTCGCACACTCAAAAGCCGTTTACACAATTTACAATTTTATACTTTCTTTTTTTTTTCTTTTCATAAAGGAAACGTTATACGTCTTGATGCTTTGTCCATTTCCGCTTAGACTTTAAGTATTCTACCCGCATCAATACTTGAAAGAGCTATAACAGCTACTGGACTTAAGAATCTTGTTTTCCAGATAAAAATTGTTTTAAGAGAGAGATTTTTAAAATTCCAACCGAAATCAATACCGGCTGCTCGGTCATAGAATGCTGAATATTCCCTTGGAGGGAAGAGATGAATTCATATATTTACCAAGATTATTAGCAAAGAAATTAATGTAATGACCTCGTGTAGAGTTTAAACTCAGCTCTCCGATTCCATAATTCGAGTCACAAACCATTACTCCAGCCTGTCTCCATCTTAATTCACCGTAACACCTCCAGTAGCTTGAGATCAGAATTCATTAAAAGCCATGCTTAGTGTAATATTCAAAACATTTATTACTGTATTATCAGGGTATATATGATTGGTGCTTTTGTTGTCGTTTTTGCTATATTAAATTAAGAATTCCTTTTTTTTTTATTAGATTTTTTTTTAATTTTTGTCAATCTAATTGTTTGATTTTTTTGATTTTTTTTATAGTAAAGTTCCCCCTGTACAACGCCTGTGGACAACTCGAGATGGAGCGTTACGTTAAGGGATAGTTTATATGGATAGTAGAGGAAAATAACAGTTAACTCTAGACTTGAAAATTTAAGATTGTAGTAATCAGAGAAACATATACTTAGGAGTCTGTTCCACAGGACAGTGGTTCGCGGAAAGAAGCTGTTCGAGTAGTACTTAGTTCACGCCGATGGACTACAGAGGGTATACCATTGATTTGCTACTATGTAAGTGGCATAGACTAGGCAGAATGCAGTTCGTCCAAGCACTTTGCATGAAAAACTCTTTACATTTCCTTTTAATAATCTATTTTATTATAATTTTTAAATTTATTGTTAAAATTTCTCTTATGGGTTATTTACTAATTGGTCTCTTGCAGAAAATAAGCCCCTAGATCTCATTCTGTTTGATCGCTAATCCAGTGTTATGTCAAACTTTATCACCTAATGGCAGTAATGGTAGCTACCAAGGATTTCAAATCTCTAGCGAAGATATTTATGCTGGTCATTTCGTTTACAGAAACTTTTT